TTTGGAGGTTAGATTCAAGGTCAACCGAGCCACTCAAGGCAAACACAGGCAAAACACGATATATCACTAAATGATAACTTTATGAACACATGAAATTATATTTCAGCACACAAACTAACAAATTTAAAGCAAAAAATGTTTAATTAGCTGACGAAAAATGCGCAGTAACAGATAAACACGTCAACTTTTCAGTGCGGCCTACTGCGATCTCTTGGGCCCTTTCCAAGGAATATCTACGTAAACACTTTAAGGCAGCGAATTCAAACGAAGAATTTGAAAAAGACTGTATAAAAGTGGCCAAAATTATCGCCAAGGAATCTGTGCTGCGTCAGATCAAAAGTTCGCTCCTTGGCATACGATTAAAGGAATTGCGGATTATTTTCATCCAATTGAAAGAGAATATAGGGTGTCCCAGAATGTCTAAGCACGATTTACGATTACGATTGTTTACAGCAAATTCTATTTTTATCTCGTATTTATTTTCTCTATAGTATTCTCTTACAGTTTATCGTAGAAAATCCGAGATCCGAGCAGTCGTAAGCCAAGAAGCGGATTTTGGATCTCACGCTACTGATTAACTCCAGCACAGATGCCTTTTCAACAATTTTGGATACTTTTTCCGAGTCTTTCGCAAACTTTGTAAAGGAATTAGCTACCTTGTCATGTTTCCGCAAATATGCTTCGGTCAGGGCCCAATAAGTTTCTATTGGCCTGGCCTGGCGGATTCGTCTTCTTGGGTATGAATTGGATCTTGTTGGATTTATATTAGGCTATCGTGTCCTTGGAGTAATGAACCGGCGCTAAATCCGATCGAAACAGTACTGAGGCGTTGTGTTTGTGGATCATGGGAAACAGACGCTTGTTTAAACACTCATGCACGTAAACATCGGTTGTCACAAACGGTTTGGAAAGCATACCGCACTCACAAATGGCTTGCCAAACCATATCCTTTTGACCGAATTTTTCGGTAAAATCGACTCATGCGCGTCGTCAACACTTCTGCCATCACGAACGGTGCAGTACTGATCACCAGGAAGAGGTTTACAAACAAATTTAACGTATGATTCATCGTTTATAATCACGCACCACGTTTCTCCGCACAGCAATTGGTCGTATAGCTTCCGAGCCCTCGGTTTGACGAATGCCGCTTGTTCTCACTCCGCTTTGACATCTTCTGCTTCTTATACGTCTTTAGACCCATTCTTGCCTTGGTCCGCTGGACGTTACTCTTCGAGGATCCCACTTTTTTAGGCACGTCTCAAACCGAAGCACTTTTCTTGCGAGTGGAAGCTTGCACGATTTTCCGGTCCAGATTTCGGTCAACAGGGTTCGGTTTTCGTCCAGATTTTTGCTTGTCCTGGAAAGTTGCTTGATCACCATACTTCCGAATCGCGTTTAGAACGGCTCCGATGCTTACATCTTCCAATTTCGCTAATTGACTCCGAGAAATGTTGGGGATAGTATACCATTTGTGTACGATCTGTTTGTGCTTTTTCGGAGAAATGCTTCGCATTGTCATGGAAATGTAAAGAACCAACACTTGCGATACACGAAACTGTTGGTCGAAATGTAAACAATGATTCAGCGAGATAATCAGCTGTTTAAACGTCATCTGAAACGAGCAGGGGTATTCCAAATCCGTGCTTAGACATTCTGGGACACCCAATGCAATAACGAACATATAACTATATGAAATAAAAATTTGAGTTCATTAATATGACGTTTTTTTTATTCCTATAATAAACTGTGCTTATACTTCCTGGGACACCCTATAGGTTTGCACTAAGAATAAACGAAAACGACATAAGCTGATCTGCCTAGATGATTGAATTCGCAAACGAAATAGAGGATTCGGAAAGAATTTTAGCAAAGTTTTTGGCGTAGGACTACGTCTTTCGGGAAGGATGTCAACCAAGGAAATGCAACGAAAATTGGTCAGACTTTAAATGCTAATAACTTGGCCAATAATCAATGTATTTTGATGATTTGTATGTCGATAGATTTGGAAGTTTTATAAGATTTGTGTGGTATGTCACACATTATAAATGTTGAATACTGAAATAACTAAAAGTTAAGAAATATGGAAACATTTAAATTTCTCATACATTTTCTTCGACCGAAAGGTGCTCACCCCTAACACAGCCATCAGAAAATTGATCCCAAACGACACAAGCCGAAGCCGCAGAATCATTCAGTGTTGCACGAGCAGAATTATGAGGAAAAGCGAGGAACATATTACTCAGTCATGAATGACCTACATTTTTGAGTCGATCTCATCGGCCGTGCATTAAAATTCTGATTAGATCCCGTCGGACTTTACTTGAGCAACATGTGACAAGGTCCTATGAGCCCAATGTAAATAATGACTTTACACTATTGCTCAACACGTCCGCGCAAACTAACAACACCATTTGATAGAACAAACTTAAGGTACGTTTAGACTATCTGATTTGATGGTCTGATTCGAGCGGACTGCTCGATAATTTTGTCGGATGCAATGTTCGGATGCATTCACACTTTTTCGACAGGATGATTAGATTTGACGGATTTGAACCGCTAAGGAACGCTTGATTTGTGATTTGATGGCATCCAGCAACAACCCTAATATAATGTCATTTACCGTGTGCGTGATAATGTTCGCACCATTGAACAATGTCAAAATTTAAAAAAATCTCAAAAATTTCGTTTTCGAGTTTTTTTTATTTATTTAAAAGGAGGCTGTTTCTCAGAGTCTTAAACTATATCTTAAACTTGCTGCAATTACGGCCTCCACACGCTTCTGGAATAAACGGCAGGTGGTTCTAATAATGTAGTCTGGATCCATTTCTCTCCAGGTACGGGTCAATGTTTGTCTGAGGCTTGCTGTACTCGGGTGGCGTTTAGAACAGGCCTTGGCCTTCATGACGCACCATATTGAGTAATCCAGCGGATTAAGATCGGGGCTGGATGGCGGCCACATATCCTTCGCCCAGAACGGAAGATGTTCCTGCAACCACTTCTGAGTGCGGTTCGAGGTGTGGAACGGAGCCCCATCTTGTTGAAATACAACATTTGGCTTCGGACCGTACTGTTCTTTGATCCACGGAAGAACATACTTACTTAAAATCCCGATGTAGACCTTCGTGTTGACCTTCGTGTTGACCTTGTCGCCTTCTTAAATGAACACCGGGTCCATTTTTTTTGCCATCGGAAGCCACCAATCCAAACACCATAACGCCAGCAGGATGCTTGGTCAGATACTTGTGCTCGTCGGCTACGTCTTTTACCCGAAGAGAACTAATATACCGGTCGGTTCTGGAATTTTATACGGGATCAACGGTAAACATGCTCTCGTCGGTGAACAGGATTACCGGGTTTATTCGCTTAAGGAAGTTCAAGATTTTCTTGCATCGTTCGACTCGTAGCGTCGTAGCTCCCGGATGCGGTTGGTGCCCTCGACTTCGCCCCGCAATCTTCCTTTACGATCTTCCGTGCCGTAAAGTCACTGATCCCATGTTCCTTTGCCATTTTCCTTATTGAACGCACGAATGAATCCACGAATCTTCCTTTTGATAGCAGCGATAACCCTCGGAACCCAAGCTGACCACGGACGACCTGTGGCTACCTTTGCGGATAGTTGTATTTTCTTTTCTCGGTCTAAAACCCTTTTGACGGTCCACCGGGACACTCCCACGGCGATTGAAATGTCTTTTTGCGACATTTGCGCGTGGGACAAATCACGAATACGCTGCCACTTCGTCATGGTGCAACTGTCAAACTAGGTAAATCATTTTCTTTTATACACAGCCTACTACGGTATGAGGAGCTATAGGTTACGTGCATGCAAAGAAAGTGTATGCATTGTATGCACAGGTGAAACGGGAACCTTATTGCAAATGGTGCAAACATTATCACGTATACGGTTTATATTTTGAAACTGATACTACTCGACATAGAAATAAGTGAATTTTGTTACAAACAACGAACAATGAAATATCGGCTCCGTTAAGCTCACGCAGTTGAGCATTCCAGCTAAAAGAACTAGATAAAAACAACTACAGAGGATTAACTTGGTGGTCTCATCAACATCGAGTTAGGAAGAGTTGACTGTATTACATTCGATGTATGGTTCAAATTTTCAACCCACCGTTTCTTGTTAACAATTAGCATTGGGAAATAGCTAACATACAGTCATAATTACAGTAGGCACACTCGAATTACAATTTGGCTATAAAGCAAACCGTTATCAGCAGTAATCTCATCTCGCTTTAGAAACTCCTCCATAGATAAAAAAAAGTATATCTGACGAAAGAAAAAGTAGCACAGGCCATAAAACTCACGTTTCACCGGGCGCACATTTACAACATCATCACGAACCGACACTGAAACAATTGCGCACGCCGCGCCGCATTTAAACTCCATACCCACAATTGTCCCATTAGTGCCCTAGCCTCCCTAGCGTTTCCCGTCGTCTACGGCGTCGAAGATCTCAAACTATCATGTTATTCATATGGAAGGTACCTACCTATGCCCATGCCCCAGTACGATGACCTCGTCTCCCAAACCCCGAAATGTTCGGGCCTTTCTCTTTTTTTTTTATTTTTCGGAATCGGTGATGATCACTGACCACGGTCGTAAGGCTTTTAATTACACAAGCTAGGTGCACCGATCACCAGCAACGCTGGCCAATTTGGGTCAGGAGATCCACACGTGTGTGTGTGTGTGCAAAGGGACCAATTATATTTTTTTTTGTTGATGGAAACCCAAAAAAATATCCCTACTCAACGTGGGAATCGAACTCACTTGTTATGGCACAATCCTCCCTAGCCGTGAAGCCACGCCGCAATAGTTCATCGGTTATTCACATGCATTCCATTTTGCCACACATTTCACCTCCATCCGTACGCATTTTCCTAACCTAATCTGTGTGTTTGTATTTTCTCTATGTTACATGTTACATGTTTGTTACACATCACCGTTCTTCATCCTCATCATCGCTGCTGCTGCTGCTGCTGCTGTAGGTGGAAGTACATTTAGGAATGAATCAGACGTGCCATGTCCGACGGGGACATTTCGATGCTCGGAGGGCAAATGCATCCCTCAGACGTCGGTTTGCAATTACCAGAAAGATTGCGAGAAAGGCGAGGACGAATTCAATCACTGTCGTAAGTAGCTCCACACCCCGCGGCCCCCTTAATTCCGTTTCAGATTCGGCCCACCATTCATCGAGTTCCACAGAAGAATTAGTGTTTTTGTTGTAGAAATAGCAATCGTGTATGGAACAGCTTTGCAGGGCGATAATGAGCCGTAATTGCCGGGCATTATGCGAGTTAGAAGAAGGGATGTTCGCACCCGTCGAACACTTGCCTTGTTGGTTTGATTGAGTCAGAGCAAAGGGGACGGGGGGGAGGGGAAAACAAACCCAAACAATAGCTGGAAAATCAGGAGAAAAATAGCAAACAGCATAGAGTCAAAGCAACAAGAAACACTTGCGGATGCTTTCGAACACGTGATTGAACACGTGTGCGAGGTATGGCGCCCATTAACTAGCCGCACGGCGCGCCGGTTCGATTGGCTGGTAATCGTAAATGCATTTCAGTAGATAGATTTTCTGCAAACCACGTCGATCGGGTGAGGTTCCTTTTTCTTGAACGCACGGCTGCCAATTGGTATGTTTCCGTGTTTTATGAGCTGCGAAGTGGCGCTTGCGTAATTGGGTTGAACGTAACACACTTGGGAATCAGACGTTTGATTTGTCTGTGGTGTGTGTGTGTGTGGAAATTAGGACGGATCAATTTAGCAAATATGATGATTTGAATGATATTATTATGTCTTCATGAATACTTTCAATGAGGACATTTATATATAATTTTAAACGCAGAAACAAAGCAAAATAGGATAATAGGAAGCTGAAGAATTACTCTGAAACGGTCAAATGAAGAGTTAGACAAGTGGAGCAGTTTCAGCAGTTCAATAGCTATAAAAATAATCTCAAACTCTACTTGCTACGATTTGCCTGAAGCTTTGCACAATTGTTTGTTTGTATTCACATTAATGCTATAATTATGCCATTTTAAATCTAGCAAATGCATCCCAAATGCCGTTTGTTTTTAATTTAGTTTTTGTAATACATCATAGCACGAAAACGTCTGTGGTGAGACTGCGTTTCATGATTTTTGCTTTACACCCAAATGCAACCGAAACTTCCATAACGACTGGCAGCAGTCACTTCGTGTCTGCCATCGGTGAAAAGTAAAAAGAGATAGCAAAAGATACTTTCTCTTTCTAAGAAAACGATGTGCAACGGAATCATTTTTGTGTCGAGTCAACTCTCAACTTTGTTTTTTGCAGCTGGGTGACATGCCGCCATGTTATTGAAACCAACAGCTGAAACGTCACAATTCCAGTGTGAACTGCAAAAATGGCGTGACTGAATTTTCTTATTTTTATCATATGAAATTATTTTCCCTTTTATGCCATATAAATGGTTGACTTCGTGGTAGAAAATCAGAAAATAATATTTTATGAGTCCTAGGTTTATTTTTTACAAAATGTAAGCAAAAATATTAAGAATATCCATAATATCAGTCACGCCTTTTTTGAAATTCTGGCTTGAATCTTCTATTTGTTTACAAATTATGAGCTGTCAGTGGGGCCCGCAATTTGGGGCCCGCAGCGATGTTAGCTCTTTTCAAGGCAAGGCAAACAAGATAGGGATGCCACCCAGCTGGATTTTTGAACGTTGTAAATAGTCTCGCAATATCAAAGGAGCTTGTAAAATCAATATCAAGCATCATATTTTGTTCCAATATCACGCGTGATATTGCGAGCGCATGAAAGCGGAAAAATATCAATTGATTGCTGATTTTGCCAACACTGCTTCTAATCTAAATGGCATCAGAGATACAATACAACTTAGATTCAATCCCACGGTAGTTTTCCACATTGCGTTTGTCTCCTTTCTTGAAAACAGGGGACATAGTAGAGCGTTTCCATAGTGCGGGAAATTTCTGCTGACGAAGTGACAGGTTGAATAGCAAGGACAACGGAGCAGCTAAGATATCGGAGCATTTTTTTAGAACACCAGATGGAATGACGTTCGCACCTGGTGAAAATGATGATTTGTTTTTACTACTTGACTAGCCTATTGGTCCCAAGCAAATCGATTAACGTACCCCATTCTAGTCGAAATTCTAGTACAACGATATGTTTGTTTTGATACGCTATGAAAGTTTGAAAGATAAAATGAGGGGTTCCTGGATTTTCCTATGTTACGAGGGGTGCATCGATTAGCTTGGGACCGAAGAGCAAACCAGAGCTGAGCCAAAAAGTTGAGCACGTTTCTTCGGGACCTTCTAGTCTTAGAGTTACTTCTAAGGTTAGACCAAGGCGGTTTTCTTGGAGGTAGGCACTTCGGTACTGAAGCACAAACACAGTCGCGAAAAAGGCAATTATAGCGAGCGACTGCTGTATCGATATCAAGGTCACGTTCCAGTCGATCCGGGACAAGGAACGCCTCAGCAAACGGAAATCGGTCTTCCGGAAATTGAGCCGAGTGGCAGTCAAGGTTTCATCAAAACGAATTTGAGATCCGTTCGCTATAGATATATCCAAAGCAGGGTGGAACTTGTCAAGAGGAACGATGACGTCAGGCGCTTCAGCGACGACACAGTCCAGAAGCGCACTTTCGCTTACAAAAACCTAGTCAAGAAAACAAGACTTGAAATTGGGAATAAGGTTTATCTGGCTCAGTCCATAAAAAGCCGCGCCATCTGCTGCAGTCATGTCAACGTTCAGGGGGAATATACACCGCTCCAATGAGGATGTTCCTCTGTGTGAGGCTGACCTTAACCCAAACCGCTTCAATTGTAGTAAATAGTTCGTCGACGATCACGCAGGAAGCGAATGCGTTGGAAACAGCGATGAGGACACCACCACCGCGAGTACGAATGCTGATGGATGAATTACGGTTAATCTGTAGACAGTAAAAGAGTCACCAAACAGTTGCACTGAATTGATCCTCCCATCGAGCCAAGTTTCCGTGAATACATAAACGTCATATTCCCCGTCAAGCGTAGCCAGATAAACATCGTCCAATTTAGTCATGAGCGCCCTGGTGTTCTGATAGTAGACTCGTAAATCGCTAGAGGGTTCGGTGCGAGCCGTGTCAATGGTAACTTGTCCAGGATCCGAACGAGAGAATGGTAAACTATCAGGTAGTGAAAGATCACCTGGCTTAGAAAGGCTCGAAGTGGTGGCCATAAGCGAAGATGAACTGAAACCAAGTGGTGGATCAACAATTGAATTCACATGGACGAGTTCATACTTGCCGCAAACGAGTGGTTGGAAGACCCCTTCACCAGGCCCGTAAACAGGGCCGGGACGGCTGCAGGTCGCTGGAGGGAATGGCTCGACTGTGGCGGGGGGCTCGGGGGCTTCCAAAATGCCAACGGCAGTGCATCCCAGTAAACAAACAGAAGTTGATTAATCATAATGAGTACGTCGTCAATCTTCGGCAGGACTAGATCAGAGGATCTGGATGCATCCTGTGAATTTTCAGTGGAGCGTCTCGGCTTCTGGTATGGTGGGCTGGTATACTATTAATCAGTGATGCAAAATATCATGACACTCACGTGACACTCGTCTTCGCATCAACCGACTATCGCTGACAGATCGTTTTGTCACGCAGTGAGAGTTAGAGCCATGGCAAACAAAAATCACCAGTAATGGTCGCTGCTCACAAGCAAAACGTTACACTCGCTGCTGATGATGTAAAGCACAACGACGACAGTGAAAACTTCTACAGTACGATCATGAGAAAAAGCGAAACGACAGAAGAAAATGAAAACAATGCCTACGCATTCCAAGTTCGTCTCGGCAGGCACGACTGTGTGAGTTACAAACAAAGCAGGTAACATGAAACGGAAGCTGTTGGGCTCACTGACCAACACACTCACATAAGCAAGCAAAGCAGCAACTGCTTCAAAACGAGCACAGATGAGTATCGTGATTGTCGGAAATGACCAGATCGGTGATGGATCACAACAGATAACGACATTCACCAGTTGCTTTTTACTTCTTTCGTCAACTTTATGGATGGTCATGGAAAGAGCTTCGACGAGCACATTGATAGGAATGTACAAATCGTTACTACCATCAGCTGTTTGGCGATCGTGATTGTGATAGGTCGCAACTCTGCTGTTAATGTCATTTTCAGACCACAATTGTCTAGGAGCAGACATATACAATGGCACTCTGGAAACCAAGAATTTTTCAGGCAGTGCAGTTGTTGCTTGCTGATTGTACTTGCCTACGGTTGGAGTTTGGAAGACCCCCTCTGGGACGACTGTTGAACGCTGGCAGCATAGGCTCGACTGCGATGATAGGATCAGGGGCTTCCACAAGGCTAGTGGCAAGTGTGCGTCCGAATGTCGAGTTGAATAAAACAGTTTGTGCTTTTATCGGAAATAATCGGCTGTTATCATAATACATTTCAGGAAGGATTGTTCGAAATAACGTCGTACTTGCCTGAGATAGGGTTTTGGAAGACTCCTTCTTCAAATCCAAAATATAACATTGTTCGAATATTTAACAGATGCCAGTATGGTATTAAAAAATATAGCCAATGAGTTCAGTCCATGCCAAGAAGAAAAAGGTCCCTCCTATAGTGATAACCACTTCCGATTTCCATGCTCTTTACACGGAACTTTTGAACTCATTAAATTCAAGTGTTCTCTTCAAATTGTCCGTCGGGGTGAATGCCGTGTATTGGCTGAAACCTTGGACGGATTCAAACGTCTTCTCAAGTATCTTACTGAGAAGCAACACAAATGTTTTTCGTACGACATTAAAACTGAACGTCTGTTCAAGGTCGTCTTGAAAGGCCCTCCCCAAAATGAAAATGAAAACCTGTACTGGCGATTCGCGAAACGGGATTTTAGTTCTCTTCAACTCTGGTGAACTAAACAACCTTAATGCCTTAGGAATACTTCAGGAAGACTAAGGGAAATTTTCAAAAGCTCACCCAGTGTCCTAAGTGCCAGGAATGGGGTCACGGAACAAAAAAAAATGCTACATGCCGGCTAAATGCATAAATTGTGGTGATTCCTCTCACGCAAAAGACCACTGTCCTGTGAAGGAAGATCCTAAAATAATGTCAGGGGTA